ATACCTATAGTGATGGTTATTGATGACTAACTGAATTATGCTCTTACAATGCGCAGGTGCTATTGTTCCTCAGATAACAGAATGTTTTGAAGGGATCAACTGCTTATCACTCCCCTCTAATCAAATATCTTTTTAAAGCACCAGTTCCTGAGGTGTTGGCAGTTTCTGCTCTGAGCTCCAGATCCTGATCCTGCCAGTGGTCTATAGTGATGCCAGTGTGTACATGCTCTTCCTTGTGCACCGGTGTGGAAAGGAGACAGCTCATTCCCCTACATGAGGCTGCAACATGCTGAAACTCAAAGCAGGCACAATGAAGAATCAGCTAGAGTCCCCGGTACCAGCTGTCCCAGGTAGAAACATCACCTTCACCACTGTGTTTCTGTGCTCCTATCAGGCCTTCACTACTCCCAGCAGGCCATGCATGAGCAGTGTGAAAGGTGACCGCCTGTCCCAGCACAGCATGGTGGTGATGATCCCTCCTTATCTGTTTGTCTTTGGAATGTCCCCACACCTCTCTGAGCTTCACTTTGCTCTTCTCACAGGCAGGGTTGTACAGGCATGAACCTCACAAGGTTATGGTAGGAAGTCACGGTAGCTGCTCACCCAGTGGCAGGCTCTGCCCAGAGGGCTGCTGGGAGTGCTGTGTGTCTTCACACTTGTCCTTCACTCTCCCCAATGAAAACACTCTTGGCCTTATCCTTCCCTGGCCTGCGGCCTTTCTGTGCTTGCAAAAGAACATGGAAACAATCTGCAAAGAAGTTTTGAGGTTCTGTCCGTCTGGTCCAGGAAATGCTGACTCTGCTACATGTGCGGGTGGGTGGGCTCTCATGGGAGGGGCTGGGGCAGGGCTTCCCTTTGCAATAAGCTGCCACACCCAGGCCTTTCCATGATCCAGACTCCTGGGACCAGGGTGCAAGTCCCCAGCTCCCCACTTGTCAACCATGTGACCTGGGCAACTTTCTCAAACCCAAGCTTTGTCCACCCAAGGTCAGCAGAGATGGAGGATAACAGGATGTCCTGCACAGAGTGTCTGTGCAGATTAAGTGAGATAGAACAGACAGAACAGTGGGCAGGGCCTGGCCCATTTGTTGGCAGAAGGGAATTCACCGTGTGCAACCAGGTCCGCGTGTCACCCAGCAATCTGCCCAGAGGCTTAGCCACTCCATCGCTATCACGCATCTGAAGTCCACTTAACCACATGGGAGAGAAACAAACATATCTTCTGAGTGTAGCTGCCACAGGGAAAATTGCATCTGAGCAGGCAGTCAGACCAGAGGGTGATCAGGAAGGTGGAAAATGCCCCCTGGGTTTGAGCAGAGTGGA